TATGCATTAAGAATACAATTTGGAAAATAATATTTAAAAATTGGTATTTTCTTTGTTGGAAAAAAGTAAAATCCAGGTGTTAGTTTTTGTTTCTCTCCATATCAGCAACTTTTCACCTGGTGTTTTATGGCAGTTTATGTAAATTTCTTCTAATTTTCAGTCTCTTTTTTTACCCTTTCATTACTTTCACACCATCTATATGGAGCTGGTCTTTCTTGTTGTGTGGTGTGAAACAGAAATGTGTCACTGTTTTTTTTAAAACTTTCCTTCCACTACCTGAATGCTTTCAGTCTGACAGCGTTGACAACTCAGGGCCACTGTCGCTGGGCGGATGGTAGTTTCAGCCCCCCTTTTCGCTACTCTCTGCTCTCCAGGGTCCCAGACGGCTGCTCTCATGTGTCATGCACGTACACGTAAATCCCGCATACAAACAGAATTGTGGGAATGCAAACACAAATCCACACACATTCTCTCTCTGTATGTTTTTCTCTCACACACACAAGCACACAGATAGACATCTGCATACAACCTATTAACCCCCCCTGACAATAAATTCATGCAATCTTAAAATAGCAAACCCTCCCTGCGTTTTTTTCTACATGAAGATAAAGAACAGCAAGATTTAAATTTAGCAACATTAACTAAATTGACTAAAATTTGCTATGGCTTGTGTCATTGTTTTCTAACAATATTTTATGTTCTTGTTATGAGGGTTATAATATTTGTAGAGCAGAAAATGTGAGAAAACAGTCTAAATTCAAAGCTATTTTAAATTTGAGAAAATTCCCCAAATCATTAAATCAGACAGACAGAAATTCCCAATGGGAAAAAACAAGTCAGTCCGGCTTGATTTGATTATTCCTGTGGTTGTGATGTTCTACAGTGTCACAGCAACCAAGACACAACATATTAGTGGATGAAGATATACTTTAGAGAGACACTAGACGCTACAGGTGGTGCCAGTTCAACAGTGAGAGAAATCATCTATAGGGGTTCTACTTTACTGAGCCAATACTAACACAGACAGACACCAAGGAGGATCCCCTTTCTACTTTACACAGATTTGGCTTCTGTTTCTCCTCACAAGCCCCGTTTTAGAGTTTTCCTTCCAAATGGAACAAAAAGAGAAGTGAGCGATCCAAAGGCCCTTACTGTAGCTGGCAGCGAGTGTGCAACAGGGATTAATTCTCAGTTATCCCATGAACTGAAAATAACCAAGCCTGCAAGCTGGCAAAATTGAAGCCGCTTGTCCTGTGTGCTGATTGGCGGTGATGCTGTAAAACTGTCAGCTCCGAGATGAAGAGACAACAGAGCTTTGAAATTAAAGCTGTGTCGCTGTCTAAATGTGAAACCTCTGGGGTGTAGTTTGTTATCCCGCTTTTTAGCCACTAGTAGCGGCGTGGCTCTAGGGACGGCGATGCCGGTCAGTTGGTCCACCGGTTTGTTCCAGACCAAAATATCCCCATGACTAGTGTTTGGAGCCCTGACGATTTGTACAGACATTCATGGTCCCCAGATGATGCGGCCTTCTGACGTTGGTGATCCCGACCATTCCTCTTAGGGCTCCATTATGTGCCACTAGACATTTTTGGTTTCATCGGAATGACTTTGGTGATCCCCCGATTTTTTTTTTTGTCTCTAGTGCCACCAGCAGATCAAGGTTTTTACTTAATAAGTTAAATATGCCAACTTGTTCCCCTCATGATGAATTGTGATAACTTTGAGAATTCCTCTAGCGCCATCTTCACATCAACATTTCAATTTGTGTCAGTGTTTTGATTTATGATTTAACAATTGCAAAACGAATGACATACCCTTTAGCCACTGTTGAATTTTTTTTATAGTGCTGATTAGCAAATGTTAACATGCTAACACGCTAAGCTAAGATGGTAAACATTACACCTGATCATTGCAAGCCAAGCTTAAGTTACCATTTTGCTCAAAGCCCTGCTGTGCTTACATTCAGCCTCGCAGTGCCGCTGGCATTGCTGTAGACTCTTAGTTTTTTCTTTCTGTGTGTTAATGTGTGTATCACATTTTGACACCTGATCTGTATGTGTCTTACTTTCTTTTGTCATTCTTTCCATATCCATTACACAGTTTGATAACAGGAGGTGGGCAATTAGCCGAGAGCAGTACATCAATCTTTTTATTTGATGTGATCGTAAAGTATTGGTACTAGTCCAGATCCAACATTTGTTAGCAACACAGTAATTCAGGCCTTCATGTTGCTATCGCCGTACACAAAGGAATCTCAATACCAATCAACTGCCAAACAGATGCACCCGCAAAGTAAATGCCTTCTAGTCCAATAAATCTGTTCCCACTTTCTCTGAGCATGCTTTAATTCACATTTACCCAAAGGAATCATTGCATGTCCTCAGCTCACAATAATGTGAATGCAGAGTGTACCACTAAGGTCAGACTCTTTAAATACTTGAAGTTTGTTGGAACATCACTCAGAAAGGACCTCATCAAAGAGCGTCCATATCCGACCAGTTTGTGATAATGATCCAGCAGCTGCCTATTTAGACTCAGCTGCCGCTTGTCCCCGGCGACCACCCCTGATGGGATATGAGGCCTTGGGTTCTCTGTGCAACCTCTCAGGGCAGCCCCGTGGTATCTGGGCCCTGTAGGGGTCTGATGGGGGGTCACTCTTAAATCTTGCCATCTCCCGTCTGAATAGCTGAGAGGTTGCCCTGCTCTGACGGGATCAAGAAACAGGCTAGCTGTGAGTGCCGGCCATTCTGTGGCCTTTCATTAATGTACTGCCATCTGAGAGCAGCTGTGTGACGAGAGCCTGTTGCTGAGCAGATAAAGACAGTTCAACGTGAGAGTGGGAGGGGGTGTGAGAATAAACACTGAACAAAGGTTGGGCTTTTGGCTTTGATGGTTGGGATGTATGAATAACTGTAGCAGTGGTGGTCTTATCTGAAGTGGGACTCTGTGTGTGACACACTGCTGACCCCCCTATCTTGTTTAAAATGGAGGCTGAGCAGGCACACTTGCCATTCTGAAACATTTACAAGATTCCTCACTGTCCTCAAGTGCAGAGATTTACGTCTCAAACAACAGTCCGTGTCCAAAAGTAGCCTGGCTGCATACTCTGCACAGAGCAGCTTTAACACAAAGGTCTGACAACATGCCAGTTAACTCCTCACACATGACAGGATGTGGCTCTTTTTTTAATATGACCCATAACAAGAAGTTATTCATCTTTGCCCAGTGAGGAGAACAAAAATATAGTCATGGATAGTGACACCTTCAGTGCACTGATCAGCACACTTGAAGGCTGAAGAGATAATGTACCCATCAATCAAAGTGATACTGCCATCCCAGCTAGCCAGGTTATTCAAAGACTATCCAAATCACCCTCACTATCCATAACAAGGAGAAGTGGCTTTTGGATCACCCTTCTCATCCTAGAGTTCTACTCTATTTTTTTCAGTCTTCATTTTGTGTGAATTTATTCAGAGACTTGGCACTACTCAGCCTGTAACTGTGCACTGCCTTGCTGACACCTCCCTAAAAATAGTGCCCACTAATCCTCAAGTCCCCACTGAGAAGTACTACACATTACCAGGGACTGACTAGATCGACTGCGCCCAAAGCTACATGGAGATTGTAAACTTTGAATAAATCTCTAAAGCTTTATGATATGGACATTTAAATTTTCATGTGAGTAATTTCAATGTTGACACACTGCTATATCAAACTTAAGAGAAGGAATGAATCCAGATCAGTGTTATATGCTCTTGATCACCCCCATGCTGCAGTTCGGCACCCTCTGGTGGGGTTGATGAATACAGCTTTTAACAGCAGACCCGTGGACAACTGCATTAGCAACATGTTGAACCAGTGAGATCATGTTGTCCAAACGTACACTTAAGAGTTCGGCAGGAGTTTACATCTTTCTCAAGGAAGCATGGGAAGCCAACTGGCTGTATATGAGGTGATGTCTTTGTAATTGTTCTGGAAAACCATTCATAGCAGTGACACAGTCAGAAGACTAAGTTTGCCAGCATTTGGCTGACTGAGGAGTAATTGGTGAGAATAATAGAATTGTATGAATAAAACTGCTCAGAATGAAAACTGGCACTTTCCTCATGTTTGTAGCTTGAAAAATACAGTTCTCACTTACTTTTAAATCTCGGTCACAAGCATGCTGGGTCTCCTTAATGATGAATCTTCTATTTCCTTCTTTGGGTTTCTGTTTCATTTCGGTGAAAGCATTAATCCACAAGATGTTTTTTTTTTGTTTTTTTTTAAATAGAATTTGGATGCATTGCTCAGAGCTTTCCACTGCATGGTGATCAAATCTTTTGTATGTACGCCCACTGGGAGGTAAGAGGGATATCTGTGCATCACAGGTTCAAGTTAACAAACTGTAGTCAATCGCTGCACTGGGCTCCACCACAGTTACATTTCACAAGTGACTACAAGTCATTTAAATCACGTAAGTTCTACATGATGATCTCTGTGGCCTGTCTTAACGTTTGATAGAGTGGGACATAAATCGTGTTTGTAATGTACTTCAGCTGCCTAGAAGGCTGAAAACAGAGTGCCAGGCTTCCCACTGGCCACCTGAATATAGCGAGAGGGGGGCAGCAGATAGAGTGGCATGTACCCCCTGTAGGGATTTTGTAAAGGAGACCCAAACTGAAATGGACAGCTGAGCCAACTCACATGCCTTGTACATCAACTGTAAGGCCCTCTGGTACCGTCTCTGAATCTGTCTTCCTGTGGTTAGTGTGCGCTCTGTCTTTCGCGACTTTCAGTGGGAATTGGTATTTCCCCTCCAAAGTCAAAATACTATTCAGCCTCAGGAGTAAACAAGCGAAAATCAAGCCCAAATGATGATCAGTTTCTGTGCCTGTTGTAGATCAACGAACGTGAGAATCTTTTAGAACATCGAAATCAGAACATCAATTTTCTCTTTACATAAATAATCCCAGAATCAAATCTCAAGTCATTCACAACAAATAGACGAAGAGACCACAGACTGGACAGCATGTCTTTAATAAGACTTAAGATACTCCCACTGACCTTGTAACGCACATCAAAATAATAATAGCATTTACACGCACCAGCATTTCAAATACAGATGAGTTCATGGCATCTCAATGCAAATGAGAGAAAACTGAGTCATGCTCACACGTGAAATAAAAACAGCTTTAACTGTTAAATAGTAGAGGAAATCCCTATTTTGTAGGGATCTGACCTTAGATGACTTCTATTTTCTTAATTGTCAAGGTTGCACACTCATTATTACATCCAGTTCTGCATACAATCATAGCTGAGACAGACAGTATGTTTACACACAGTAAGAAGCTGTTGCATGTGAGCTTACATTTCAAATCTCTTTCCAGATTTCTCAGTTTAACTTTACAAAAACTGTTACAGGTAGCTTTATACAGACCAGGATGTATAATACCTGGGTTTCGCTTAGAAGGTCTACTCAGAGCAGAGTAGCATAAAATGACTCCCTTTCATACAACGTTAATCTACAGGCCCATCCCTCCTTTGTCCTTCACACAAAGTTAATTTACATTATTCACAAAAATGTACCCAGTCTTGAATATTTCTCTTTCAGTTAAATAACTAAAGAACAAAGAAAACAAACACTTCAGCTTACTGTAATAATTACTCAGCCGTACTGTAATGTACAAAGGATGATACTGTTGAGTATTAAGGTGCATGGAATCGGTGCCACAAAGATCTTTACAAATGTTAACACTGATGCATCCGTGTCGCACACAGTAACACCTTCCATCCCGTTTTGTCTTTCGCTTTTGTCCTGATGCTTGGTCGTCATCTTCTGTGGCTCACTTCATCTTCAGAGAGAAGCATGTTTGCTATTAGGGGCTTAGAAAAAGGTTGTTGATGGCACAGGTCACCGGGCTGGGAAAGGTCTGTGGGCTAAGGCGACGAGCACTTCAACACTGGAACATGTCACAGGACCTCTGTGAGGGAAGCAGGGAGCAAAAGGGTTAAGGGTCAGCAGCCATTGAGGATTAATCAACACATGCGACAAAACAGGGTCACCCTCTTTAATGTGTAATAATAACATGGTCTGTAAACCTCTGACCTGGTGACAATACCAAAGATGTTGAACTTGTTGCAGAACCCATGAACCCATAAAACTTTACTGTCTTACTTGTGTACACGGGGGGGTGTAACGGAAAGACCTCGACTCAAGTAGAAGACATTTTATAGTAAAATACAGCCAACAAGTTGGTAATTGATGTTACACTGAACAACTTGACTGACAACGCCACATGAGAGTCGGAGGAGAGCCAGGCTCTTAACGATTTGGAAAGTTCAAATAAACCCTGGAAGTATGCCTCAAAATAAACTGACCTCCTATGATATTACATTGTAACATTCAATCAGTCTCGCATATCAATATTCCCAATTGTAGCTCTCATCATAAAAGGTCCTGCCAAGTCGAACACATCTCAAGTATCCAGATTTACAAGAGTAAAAATGAGGAAAGAGTGTTTACTTTTTACATGACTACTGAGTTAAAGGCAAGAGGAGTGTGAAGATAAAAGAAGTATTCATTAAAATGTGATTTTGGGGAAATACGACAGAGCGCTAGCAAAGGTAGTCGTCCTCTGTATGCTTTACGTAGTATTTCTGACCTCTGGCTTGTCTTCAGGCTATCGGGTTAAGGGTGGAAGGTGAAAGTAGGGTGCTGCTGACGTTGATGTGGGGAGAGGACGGGGTGCTTAATTGCCTTCAGTGTCCTGTTTCTAACCTCTGGCAGGAAAGTACTTGAGGATAGGGTCTCCTCATCGCCTTGGCCATTCTAGGAATTCCTCACTGGGTGCAGGCCCAAATCCGTGGGGCTGCTGAATAAAAGCTGTCATCGGTATAAAGATACCCCACTTCTTTTCACCCTACCCTATCTCTGCCATATCCCATCTCCACCCCTTTATGAGTGTAAGTGTGGAGTCTCCATGCCACACCATCCTCTCCTCTGGGGGTACTCACTCCCACCAGGGTAATGACCTGCACGCTGGATGAAGTAGAGGTTCAGGTTTGTGGTCGGTGCCAAGGACAACAGCACTAACTATGGTACTTTGTACTGCAGTCTTTATTGGGTAATGTGAACTTGGCCAAGTGTAAAACCAGATCAGTTTAAATAAGCACACAAGCTCGTTGCAAATGAACTACGGCTCTGTCTGCTGCTACTTTTTATTAGGAACAGACGAGAAAACCAAAGCAATTGGAACATTGGCCGTCCTGGCTTAACCAGATCATGGTCAAATGGTTGTTTGGCTACCAATATTTAGGATTCTGTCTGTAATTGGGTGTTATCTTTGAGTTTAATCTTTTCTTTTATCTTTGTTTTTGTGAACTTCCCCCTCAGGGGATTAATAAAGCGCTGTCTTCCGTTTTCTCAAACCTTAGGCTAAACCCAAGATTTGGCCCTTTCTAAACTATACCAAACTATAAAAAGGATTTCTTTGAGACTTCTAAAAGCCCTTCATTCACAGCTCAGTTAGAAACTAATGTTCCTCAAGTACAGTGAAAATGCTGTTGCAAGACTTAACTAATAAGAAACAAGGGAATATTATACCTATAACAGGTAAAGGATAGTTCTGCATTTTATTTTCAAGTACGTTAATCAGTTAATTTGGGTAGTAAGATAAGAAGATTGATACCAAAAGACTGGTTTCTGTCTGCTTCCAGTCTTTATGCTAAGCTAGTTTAATCACCTGATGGCTATAGCTTCATATTTATTGTAACATTCTTAATTCTTATCCTTCCTTTCTACTCCTTTATATTTTTGTTGTTAATTGTTGTTCTTACTTTAGGTCTGAGGCTTTGTGTGCTGTAAAGCAGTTTGTAACTCTGTACCTGCAACATGCTGAGGCTTCATGGGGCCTGCCTTTTTCATGAATGAATCCTCACTCTCAAATGTGAGGATCGGCTCGGTGGCCATGCTGGTCTCAGTCTTATCTCGTGCTCCATTGGTGGTGTTGCCGTGATTCGTGAGATGGATGATATCACCGAAGTGGGTAGTGTCTCCTTTAGTGGATAGACCATTTTCATGTCTTGGAGGCTGGACCCCATTGACCACTTGGACTGAGGGGCTGCTAGAGAGGGGAGACACAGAATATGGATATAATTATGACAGGTCAGAGTGACTCATACAATAAATGAGTCATTCCACCACTGCCAATTACAGGAGTCTTTTAAAATCTACTCCAAGAGACGTGTTCAAATACAAAGAGTAAACATTTCAAGAAACCCAATCATTCTCCCAGTATCTCAGTTGTTTACTGTGGGCCTGAATTGTGTGGCTCCTTGTGTTTTCCGTTGAGGTTTACAACAACAACATTCAACTGCTGGCTTATTTTTCTGGCACACGAGTTTTACACTGTTCATGGTGGTCTTGCATCAATATAAGCACAAAGGAACTTTCAAATACATTTTTTTTTTAAAAGTAGTTTTACCTTTCTTTGACATTGGTCTGTCCATTTTCTGTAATGTTATTGGGCAGGTTGGCCTCAGGCTTTGGCTGATATTCAACAGATGCTAGAGGAAACAAAGTATAACAGCCATTTATCCAGTCAGTATAAACCATGGACACCAACATGATCACACACATTCAACATCCGACCATACCCTCCGTGATCAACCACAGGGTGACAAACACCATTAATGATCAAATAATAATTAATTAATAATATAATTTAATAGGCATGGGGACGGAAAGGGATGCTAAATTTTCCAAGGGCATCTTGCCTAGTCCAGATCCCCCTAACTCAGTTCTGCTGAGGACATTGCTGTGGTTGAGACAGATCTCCACACCCCTGACTAGAATGGAGGCACGCCTGCCAGGCCTCCGACCACATCAGTGGCTGGCTAATGTCTTCCTGCATTGGGGAACTTGCCACAAACAGCATATCTCCAAGACCACATTGATCTCCTTCATCTACTGTACATGACGTGGAAGCTTAGACAAAGAGGGTGTTCAAGTTATATGCTTCTTAAAATAGTTGTGTTACAACAGAATTTTTCCATAATTAGAAGTTGTGGGAAGAGTGGATAAGAGTAAGGCCTTTGCTACATAACAAATTATTACTTGTGTCAAAAGTAAATGTCTGATAACTATTGCAGGCTGAGCCCACTTTTCCTCTCTAACTCCCTCAGTCCCACAGCTTGGACAACAAGCAAGCACACATGGGTCCTGTTGTACAGAGAAGAAGAACTCAAACTGCAGCTGTACAGGATATGAGACAGAGATATAATCTAATAACCCTTTTACACAAAATGCTCTGATGTGAAGCTGACTCTCATAGAAAATGAGGACAAACTACAACAAACTACACCTGTGTTTTGTTTTTTCTACCATATGTAAGAGGTGTAAGAAGAAGAGGAGAGATAGTGCAGTGTGTCATCAAATATCAGCCTAAAGGTGGTATTAAAAGTAAAATGAGTTCATCTACAATAAAATGAGTCAGACACTGACTAAAATGTACTATGCAGCTCATGTGGATTTGCTAATAGAAGACGTAAGAATCCACTTTTAAGTGGATTCCTGAAGCCAGCTGGGCACAAAGCATCCACTTTGTTTTAAGTGGATAACACAGATAAACCATTAATGGTAGGTTAGGTAAGACAGTCAACATCAACGATTCCTACAGATTAAAGGCTTGTGGTGTTTAATGATTTCCATTCATCACTTGACAGTGCTTTGTAAGAGGCAGCCTAGTTCAGACTGATATTCAGCTTACCTTTACTGCTCTCTGCCTCCTTGTCATTGACGTGTGCAAGAGGGGAGGACTTTGTCTCTTTCTGTGAAGAACGGAGATGTTTTCAGTCATTTTTAATTGTAAAGTTAAAGGTTTTGCATGTTGGTTTGGTTAAAACTGAACAGTACCTTGTCGCCTCCATCTGTTTTGCGTGTCCTCTTCATGATCTCCTCCAGACGCTGAGAAAAGAAAGAAAGGAATAAGACCAAGGAGAATGCCACATGTTTGTATACTTTCTATGCCAACACAGTGAAGTATTGGAACAGATGTGTTTATGTAGTTAAGAAATAAAGGTTTCATTTTTCATAACAGCAATCAAATGTGGAAGTCATTAATATGACATCTGCAAGAAAATAGCATTATTAAATTTTAGTTTAAAATGGGTTAGGTTTAGTGGGCTAGACTGAGCCCACACACCTTGTTAGACTTAGGTTTTACATTTTGCTGTTCTTTGCTTCTCTTCACCAGTGAAAAAGGATTTCCTTTCTCTTGTATCTAAGGCTGTTATACTTGAGGTGAATGCAGAGTCAAACTGAGGCCCTTATGTCTCCAGGTGGAGTGCTGTGTCAATAGTGATGAAGCAGCACTTGTGTATTCAGCTGGAACACCAGCGTAGGATGGTAGAACAGTGAACAGCTGGATAGAGGAAACACAATAAGCGTGGACTGTACAGCACTAAAATGCAAACCATTTTGTGAAGCTAATTTGTATGCATAGAAGGCAGAAGTTAGATACAAGATGCAACCTTCATTTGAGGACACAGCTAGATGGAGACAGCAGGACCATAACTACAGCTGCCACTCATAAAAGTGAAGCCCTTTTAAGATCCAAAATTATTCATGGACAGCTCACACACTCATGGCTTTGGCATCTAGTCTGGCTGTAAAACCTCTGCCTCTAGATTAAAGATTCCTGTGTGCCTTATATGTTGCTTTGTTGCTCTTCATTATACTTTCAACCGCCTTTGCTTGCTGATCACAAATTCCACTTTGTTGAGGGATAACAACAGTGGGCCAGTCAGTTTTGGTAGAAGTCAGTCACGAACTGTGTGTTGTGCAGTGTAACTAAAAAGCAAGACTTTGGGGCAGAGGACATGGTGTTCTTGCGGGCTAATTTGAGGAAGGAGCCAGGCCTGGGTTGGCTGAGCCAGGCCTGGCACGCCTAGATAAGAGCCTTTGACACATGGAGAGAAGATGAGGAGAGGGAAAGAAAGGCTTAGCTAGCATACACATGCATGAGCTTACTGTAGATGTGGGTGGTGTACTTGTGTAGATGGCCATTGTCACAGAACACACACGCATACATGTATAAAGATCAGCACAAATCCACACACAGATGACTGGCACAGAAAGGTCTCCATTATTAGTGTTTATATATAGCTTCATGCTCACACACAGTCTAAGCCCTATTAAATCATGGCATGCAGACAGCCAATCCAGGATAAGCCAAAAACATCATTCATCTTGGTTTCAGACTCAACTTTCAAGCCTGCTTTTGTCATGTCAAAAGGAAAACCACAGAGCGAACATACCCCAGAATATAATACCTCCAGTGAGGGAGGAGAGCTTATTGTAACCTGACTACAGAATTAAATTTGTGTTACTCTAAGATGTTTGCAGTTGAGGGGAGAGCCAGGACTTTTACTCCTTTCAATCAATCAATTTAGGGCTTTTTAAAAGAGCCAGTGTGTAAGATTTAGTGGCATTTAGTGGAGAAGTTTCAGATTGCAACTAGCTGAACACCTCTGGCGTCTGTATTGGACGACCTGGGAATGAGAACAGGCTCTGAATTGTGTAGGAGAAACTACAATGTCTGCAAAAGGCCCTATCTACAGTCAGTGTCTGGTTGGTCCATTCAGGGCTACTGTAGAAAAATAGTGGTTCAACATGGCGGCCTGCACGGAATGCGATCTGCGGAAAAGACGGCTTACTCTAAGGTAGTAAAAACACGATTTCTATGTTCAGGTGATTATACACTAATGAAAACATACCAATCAATATTATATTGTGGCATATCTGCCATTATATCCTCCTAAATGTTACACACTGGACCTTTTTAAGGCTGTTGTCTTTCCAAAAACATCTATGTGAAGATTTTCAACTTTCTTTATAGTCTATCAAGTAAGAACTGTAAATGAAATTTCTACTTTAATTATTTAAAAAAATGTGCATTTCCATTGTGAAATTGTGACATTAAAACCTGTCTGAAAGAACAATGATGCAAGGACAGATGTGTTGCCCTACCCTTTTCCTCTCCAGCCTCTCCTGCTCCTCCTTCTGGAAGTGTTTCTCCCTCTCCAGACGCTGCTTCTCCGCCTCCTCCCGGGCTTTAGCTTCAGCCTCTTCTTTCTGAAACACACACAGGCGAGAATCCAACCACAATTTTAATGCCGGCAGAAGGGGAAAAAAACTCAGCCAAAATAACATGCCTTTTACGTAACAAGGGTGTGGTTGCTCACTGCAATTATTGTTTACAGCCACAAAAGGGATATTTTCCTGTACCTTTGGGCCAAAAAGATCTATTTTCAACATTTACAGCCTCGTGAGGATCACTCAAAGTGAAATACAATACTTTGCCTTTGCATAATTATACTGGATCGTGTTTAACCACGTATGCCACTTCTGTGAAAGACCACAAGGGGGTGGCAAAGCGTACGTGCTGGATAACAGACCATTCACAGAGATAGGACAGTGCCAGTGCTGATCATGTTACAGGTCTACAGGATAAACAAATACTCTATTAAACTGCCACATTTCCTGTTTCATTGGATCTGTGATTCTACTAATCATTCTACTAAGCATCATTCTCCTCTGCCTCCCCCCGGCAACATCGACAAATACAGGAAGAGTCAATATTGCTCGTAATGGATGTTTGACCAACTGAAAAGTAAAAAGGGCCTATTCACTGTAGCTACCGGCCCACCAGTTCGGATTAATATTTGCTTAAGGACAACAACATCCCACTAACGTAGAAAATACTGGACTTTGCCTTTTGGGTGTTATCAAAAACGGTCCGTGTGAGGTGAGCAGCTTAGCTGAAACAATAAACAAGTGACACTGAAAAACAGAAGATAGGGCAGAGTGATAAGTTTGTGGTGTGATGGGCAAAGTGCCGGGGAATGATGTGAGGACGCAGTGAGTGTGTCTGACCTTTACTCGAAAGGCAGTTATAACTGTCACCTGGTGTTTGATGTTCTTCACTGCCATGGTTCCTTTCCTCCTTATCTGACTAACCAGACCTGTCCACTGCACCACATTAACGCCCAACCTCACTAACAACTTCCATTTTAGGTGCTTTCTCTGCATGCTGGGTGATAACAGTGAGTATACCTGTTTTTGCAGGCGGAGGTTCTCCTCCTGCTCGGCTTTGGCTCTCTCCTGAGCCTCCTTCTCCTCCTGCAGGCGCTGGGCTTCGTCCCTCCTCTGCTGTTCCTCAGCCATGGCACGAGCCTCCTCCTCCCTGCATCGCCTCTCCTCCGCCTCCCTTGCTATTCGCTCCTCTCTCAGGATCCTAAAATTAGAGTTTGGGCATAAGGCTTTTTAGGATAAGCGTTTTCTACAAAATCCTATGCCAAGAACTGAATGTGGTAAACAATTTAAAATATAAATGATTCTATTGATAGGACATTTCCTCTTTAGTTTACGCTATCTCTGTTGAGTTTACATTGAAGCATAAGCAACAAGGAACCAAACTATTTAAGGAAATGGAAACAATAACAAGTACGATTGCCAACAAGCGATCACAAGCGACTTGATGTGGTTAGAATCAGCCAACAAGACTATCAAATGTGTAATGCTTGCACACACGGGCAGTGTTGAATGAGGTCTCGCTCATTCATAATGTATGGAGCCTTCCTGTTTAGTTTTACTCTTGTCTTTTTCATTTATTTCATTGGAAATAGCTAAATGTCCTTTTGTAACATAAAGCTACAGCAGCATATTCTGCACTAACCTATACTTCTTTATATCTGATGGTGACAATGCAAATTTTAATAATGGTTCTTGTCGCCTATATGACCTTCTGTACAATTATTGAGATGACTGATGGAGAAAGAAAGTAATAGTATAGTTATTAGTTAAAAGACCAAACCCCTAAGTGGGAACTCCGCTTGGGAATTACTGTCATTCAGCATCTCTCACACAGGGAAAAAACATGACAGATCTTTGACTATGCAAGTCCAACACTGTGCTGACCCTCTGTGGTTGTGTTTTGAGGCATAGTAGAACCCACTGACCTCTCCTTTTCCTCCTGTTCGCGGCGCTCCTGCTCATCCCTCTCCCTCTGCTCTCGGGCCTGTCGCCGTTTCTCTGCCAGGATGCGAGCCGCCTCCTCTGGGTTGTTGGTGCCTGCCATTGGCTTGGCTGATGGAGAAGGTGCAGGTGATGCTGCAGGGACAGACGGAGCAGAGTGGACTGGCTCAGGTGAGGGGGAGGCTGCAGTGGTTGTGACTAGCGTGCTCGGTGCATTGGTTGAGGAAGTGGCTGAGGATACTGCGATGGCAGGTACCACAGGGGAACCTAAAATAGTGATAACACGTGTCACAGAAGAGACAATAGTGCACAGATCTTGGGCTGTGTAACTTAAAAACATTTTAATGCAATTATTTATGCTTCCCTGCAAGTAATGACTTGTTAAAGTGGTGCCTATTGAACATTATTAACAACATGTTCAACCACAGCCTTTTCTCTTCACATGCACTGTGAAACATTTTGTCCCGAGTAACTGGATATTGTAAACAGCCATAGCTTCAGCCTAAGAACTTGTTAATTACATAATTAAGGCTGATTAGTACAGCCTCTTAGTGCTCCGTCTAAGCAGACACAGACCATGGAGCTATGTGTGGCTCACTAAATACATTCCCTTTGTTTTCATGGCTAATTAAATCTGATGGTAATCTCTGCCTATTGCTTCTTGAAAGAAATACAGACTTTCCAGAGGCTCATTTGTTTTTTTCCATTAAATCCATTCCAGGCGAGTCACAGGAAGAGACAGAGCCAGACAGTGAAGAACTCTTGAATCTCAAAAACATTATTGAAAAAAAGACAGTATGACTCAGCCGTGGGGGGAAGCTACCCAAAATCCAGATGTGCTATATCATAGCACTGTACAAATAAGATTACTGGGATGAGAAATTGCATCAAAATGCTGAATGCTTTTCCCAAGGTTAAGCAGGAACTTCACCCATACTCTTATTTTTACTATTTTTATACCTGGAACAGTTCCTGGGTGTAGGGAGTTTTCTGCGATGGAAACTCCCTATTAAACTATGAACAGACAGTCTAGACTAATGCTTGTTGAGCTTTTCAATCCAGTACAGTCCAGTCAGAAATAATCACTATTAAAAACTGTTTTTTGTACTCACTCTTTCTCTCCTCAGGGGTAGCGGGCCTGCGAGGCTCTTTCACTCTTTCGAGTGTGACAGGGGAGGAGGTGCGATGGTCTATCCTGGCAGGGGTCCTGGCTCTTTTGGGCCGACCTTTAGGAGTCGACGGGCTTCCACGTGCGGATGGAGGCTTGGGGGAGGCAGCAGGGCTGGGAGAGGCTGTCCTGCCCTTAGGCGTGGCTGGGGATGACGGCCGTTGTCTTGATAAAGGACTGGGACTGAAACAAAGGAAATACAGGTGTAAAATATGAGACTAATGTGAAATTATGTATATTTACACCAAGTTGGACATATTATTCTTTCAGACCTGGGCTAAAATGTGTAAAATGGCACATGTCCTAAAGAAACCTTACTTTAGCAAACAGGTTTACGGCAGACAAAGCACTCAAACATTGCATCACCCTTAAAGTGCATTATCAGTCAGCATCCCAGCTATACACAGGCAATACAACACTTGAAGGGAAACATCCATTATGCTGACGCAGAAGTTTTCTTTTCCTCTAGGCCTCTGGCGCTGACAGCTCTGCCAAGCTCTGTTGCCTTTTTGTTGAGTCAAAATAACTTTTTCTCTCCTATTCTATCCCCTCTGTCATGGATGTCATTTATTTCAGTGGCCTGGGGATAAGAGAGGAAGTGACCACTTATACTGGGACATTTCTCTCAGTGCCTTCACTCAAACAGAGCCTGACATATGCAGTCATTATAATGCAGACGTTTACATGGTCGCTCTGGCTAACCCAGGCGCTGACCAGAAACAAGCTGTGGTTCAAGGGGATGTAAGGTTAACCTTGTTTCCAATTCTGTTTTAATGTCAATTAGTTAACAGATTAATCAACTAAGTCGTTCAGCTCTACTGTGATTAAATCTAGTGCTTGTATGACATGATAGGGTGAGTGACTAACAGCAGTAGCTGTAATGGCTCATAGGCTTGGTTAAATGTGTAAACATGACAACAGTAAGGAAAAAGGTAAACAAAATTAACCTACAGATCTGAAACCGAACTGTACTGGAAGTAAAAATAAATATGCATGTATGTTTTACCTTGGATCAGCTCTGTGTCTCATGCTTGGTAGAGACTGTCTCTTCTTAAGCACCTTCTCTTTAGTGATGGCACTTTTCTCCTTCTCATTCTCCCGTTCTTTGTCTCTCTTTTCTTTCTTGTTTTTATCCATCTGTATGACATGAAGATGAAAAAACTTCAATTCAACAAAAAATACATTTTTCATGTGCATTTCAAAAATAACTAATAAAAACTGAAAATAAGAAAAGTGCACTGCAGGTCGTCATACATAGAGCAAAACATGGGCTCTTTTCCTGCACTCTATTTGTGAAAGTTTCTCAATAACAATACAACAGTCAGGTGAATGTAAACCCACTCGTAAACACAATCAGCTGTTAAGAATTTCAGGGCTGTTTAGTTGTTCTCTTTTTGTGGAAAACAGCTTACTTATTACATACGTTTCTTGATGTCTAGCCTTGTTGTAACTGTCTGACGACGGTCAGAGAAGACCACCAAAGGGCAAAGGCTAATTGGGCTGACTTACAGGTGTGGAGCTCCGTCTGTGTTGGCGTTGGGTGATGTCTGGTGTGCTGGATGTCACTCTCCAGCGATCGGAGCAGCGGTGGTGGGGCTGGTGGGCGCACAAGGTAAGGGGACTAGCAGAAGCCGAACGGGGACAGAGAGGAGATTCTGAGGAGTAAAGAGACATACAATTAAAGCTAACCAACATCCATACAGAAGCCTTATTTAATGGCTTTACTGTGAGACAGAAACTGTCTCTTTTTTTTTTTAAACTTACGGCCATCTTTGCCATTGTTGAGGACACTGGCAGCACTGCGGCTCCTAGCGAGGAAAGACAGCGTTGGCGTCATCAGCCGGTCAACTATACTGCTCTCCCATGGACTCAGTGCAAGGTTACGTGCTGCAGGTGGGAATAACACATTGAAATTAATAAGAAAACATACATGTATTAAAAAGATATGTCTTAAATTGATGTCCTCAGTTGAACCAGAACTTTGCTGTGAACACCCATGATCAAACCTGAAATATTAACAGGAACTTTAAGGCCCATTTAAAATCACTGCAGAATTCTCTTCTTTATTACACACATACTAAAATAAAGTCTAAGATTTATGACCAAAAGAAAATAAAACAAGACATTTATTCAGGTTATGGCTTACACATAGCAATGTGTCTTTACAAGCTATAGAGACCCGATCAAACACAAAAGCCCAATAACACACCTCAGTGCCACCCAAACAGAGATTATAAGAGAAAGAAAATGAGCTCAGTAAATGTGTCTAATAACCTTAGGCTATAGTGGTACCACCCAAGAGGGAGAGAGAGTTATTTGAAATGCTTGTCTAGACAGTCAGTTATTTATAACCACAGCCTTGAGCATACAAGCAGTGAAGAAGAATAGTGGAGAGTCATCGATATTTATTTGGGGAAGACGCCTTCTTCTTTGGCTTTAAGGTGCAGGAGGAGGTGAATGTTCACAGACAGGGTGTGTAATTGTGTTGGGGAGGAGAGGACAGCAACAAGAAGAATAGATAGTTACCCATCTATTTTTTCCAGCAGCACAGAGGAACAGAACTGCTACAGGGAGTTTTCAGAATACATTATCTCCTGAAAAATGCTGACTCACTCACAAACTTTACTTTTTTTTTTTTTTCAAACTCAGACATTTCTCCCTCATTGCAGAGGTACACTGCGACCTGGTTAGCTTTCTAGGTGCACTCACCCAAAGCACGAAGAAAGATTGATTCAAAGAACCCACCTCCATGCCAATCAATAAAGCATTCAAGACCATA